TGCATCAAAGAGAAAGCAGAGTACGTAGGTTACTGCCAAGCACTGATACGGATTTTTTGGAAACACATTCAGTGTCATATGCTGTTTACCATGTCCAAGGTCAAATGACAATACCGTAAGTCTGCCATAACGCTATATAGGTGGGGTCCCCCCCCACCCCCCACACACAGTCCTATTAAAATGCAGAGTTGCATTAACACAGTAGTGACATTGGAGGGCACATCTGAGCAGCTAGTGGGTCAGAAATTAAAGGGGGGTGGAGCACAGAGGGAGCACAGGGCCTACTGCAAAACCTAAATCTCCCTGAGTCCCAGCTTCAGTTCCATAGTACACCATGGCTGATGACTACTCAAACACAAGTACTGGCTGGGATTCTGGGTTCTGTGGCCAGCAGAGACTTGCAGAATCTCAGCTCCTACCTCCCTCGTAGGAAGGCGTTTTACTTCCCTGCCTCTCAAGACTGCTCCTCCCCCAAAGATAAGAACTTTAGCCCGTATTGGTTAAGAAAGAGAAGAGCCAAAGGGCAAAGAATGGGGCATTGTATTTAGATTGTCACTGTTTTGGTGGGAAGGGTATTTTAATCATTTCAATTTAACTCCTCTAGAATAGTATTCATAGTTTTCAAAACATACTCCTTTTCATAGGCCTGAACCAGGAAAAAAATCCTCCAACAATTTAAAATAAAAGCAAGTCCACTTGTTTGTCTTTCTCATATTCCTTATACTTTTTACTTCTTGCACGTCCCTTGAAAATAAGTCTCTCAGGAACTAGGTGATTTATAAAATTAACCCAAGCTTGAACAGAGTATAATTTACTATCCAGGAGGCCTTCAGGACAGACTGTCACAGATTCATAAGATTGCCTATACTTCCACCTGTGCCAAGCCCAGGGGACCAGAGCTCATATTTTTAAAGATTACCAGAGCTAAGCGTCTGCCTTCAGCTCAGGTCATGATCCCGGGGTCCTAAGATCGAGTCCCGCATCCAACTCCTTGATCAGCAGGGAATCTGCTGCTCCTCTGCCTGCTGCTCCCTCTGCTTGTGCTCTTTATCTCTCTCTCTCTCTATCAAATAAATAAATAAAATCGTAAAAAAAAAAAACAAAAACAAAAACAAAAAAAGATAACCGGAGAATCTGGTTTTTGTTTCCAAGAAATCCAGTTCTCCCAACATCCACTCATCTTCGACCTAATTCTGCCACCCCCACTCCCACTTTATTTTAGACAACGGTGGAGAGATACTCTTTCTTGTAAACACTTTTGTTCATAAAACCTTGTTTAGCATCTGGTCCAGCTACAGCATCAGGCAATAAAGCCATCATCAGCTATGATCGTGTTTGTAGATGTTCTAGGTCTAGAAATCATTGCTGGCATGTTTACATGCTCAAAAAATTCTGGGAAGTCTGCTGGTTTCTAAAAAGCTTGTGCTTTCTTCTGAGAAACTTCTGAGAAAACCTCAAGGACCAAGATATTAAAATAAACACATCAGCTTGGTGACCACTTGACTGAGCTAAGCCCTACCTATTGCCCCGTCTCCAGGTTAAAATAGAGTGAAGAGGAACATAGGAGTGGGTGGTTGCCTTTGAGGTAAGGTTCGAGGGTCACTACGGAAGCTGTCTGCCTCATGAGATCAAGTCTACCACCTACCATTTAAGCTATATGACTTTGGTTCTTGAAGACGTTTTCTTCCTTTATTTAATGCAAGCCATATTTAAATGCAACCATCTCTGGGAACGATTACATCTGAAGCCATTATCTGGTGAAGACCGGCACACAGAGCATTTGGGAGGAAGAGTGAAGCCTGGACACAGGGGTGGGTTGGAACTATGAGAAGGAAAGAGGAAACCAGTGAAAAAGGAGGTAGAGAGCCACCGAATTTAGCTTTCCTCCCAATTTAGGCAAAAACTGTTGACCTAAAATTGTCTGAGGAAAATCTCTCCTTCCTTTTGGATGTTATTTTATTGTTTTTCAACTTCCATGCAAAATTTTCTGCTCATCACCTACACTCATATTACAGCATGGACCTCTCCTTCTGTCACGCATGGACTAGAGGAATAAGTTACCTATCTGTTAGTCTCTGCATAAGATGAAGTTGCCTATTGCAAATATTTCCAGTTTGTTTTAGAAAGCTTAATGCCCCATTGCTTCTTTTTAGTTACTTCCTGCTGTTAACTTAGGTGAAATGCTTTTTGTGATTCTTGGTCAGTAAATACCCTCCCTGGGCTCAGAATATATTTTTAATTTTTTATTATGAAACAGACAAGTACAAAAGTGAAGCATCGTTAATGTGTACTTAACAAATAGGATGTGAACATCCCGTAACTTCCAACTGGATCAAAAGATAGGACACCGCAAATATCCCAGAGACCCACTCTGATCACAAACAGCACACTTCTCTCTTCCCACTTCTGTGACGATGATTTTCTTCCTCTTTTTTTTCTTTGTAGTTTTACCTCCTATCTATGTCTCTAAGCAACATCGTTTAGTTTTGTCTTTTCCTGTGATCTGTAAACAGAATCACACTCTGTATTTTATTATTCTTGCATCTTTGGCTCAAAATCATTCACCCAGAGTTACACACAGCACACTCTAGACGTGTGTCTAAGCTAACACACGTAGCTTCTTCATTTTCACGGCTGTAGCATATTCTGGTATATGGAGAACTATTTGAATCCATTCTCCTTCTGGCAGTCAGTTGGGCTGCTGCCAGGTTCTAGCTGTTGTGAATAATGCTGCTCCTGGTGCGTGTGCTCCTGAGTGCCTCTAGTGAGTACATCAATGACTGGACACGCTGGGGCATGGTATATGCAGATCTTCAACTTCACTTGGCAACAGGAAGCTGTTTTTTCCAAAAGTCTTGTTCCAATTTATACTGCCCATCCTAGTGTCTAAGAACTATTGTTCTAGGGGTGCTGGGCGGCTCAGTTGGTTGAGGGTCAGACACTTGATCTCAGCTCAGGTCATGATCTTGGGGTCAGGTGATCGAGCCCCAAGTTGGTTGGACTCTGAGCTGAGCATAAAGCCTGTCTCTCACCCTCTGCCTCCAGCCCCCTGGAATTTAACAACAATGGTGTTGTCTTTACAGAACTGACATGTAAATCATGCCTGTGTCCCTCAAAACTTAAAAACTCTTTCCAGGAATCATGCTTCCTCCCAAGATGGACCCTCCACAGGAGCAAAATAATGATCAATATCATCTGGTAAAGCTATTGCATTAAAAACTATACCAAGGTTCGGGGTGCCTGGGTGGCTCAGTGGGTTAAGCCTCTGCCTTCGGCTCAGGTCATGATCTCAGGGTCCTGGATCGAGCCCCGCATCGGGCTCTCTGCTCAGTAGGGAGCCTGCTTCCTCCTCTCTTTCTGCCTGCCTCTCTGCCTGCTTGTGATCTCTCTCTGTCAAATAAATAAATAAAATCTTAAAAAAAAAAAAAAAACTATACCAAGGTTCAAAAAAAATATAAATAGAAACCATACCAACAGAATTTTAAAGGTAGCTCATTGATGTAACTAATTAAATCAGTGCATTTCAGGTCAGTTTTCCGGTACTGCTCCAAGATCCAATCCATTAATATTTAGATAAATGAAAGGGTCTTTAACATTTGCTGGGATTTCCCTCAAGAGATTAGTTCATGAGACACTTTAGTCATGTGTTTCATTTTCTACCTGTGACAGGCACTTGTGAGATGATCAACACAATCCAGCAGTTACAGGATATTCAGTGACAACCAAAAATGAAAGAAACAAAAGATGAGAGTGACACACCCTATTCTCTAAGAGATACATTTTTATATAAGCTATCAATTCACCAGGACACTCAACAAATGCAAGAAATGGACAATTTTTAAAAAAAAGAATTTAAAACCAATGAAAAGATAAACATCAAGCAAGACTCCTAAGAATTTACATGTTATTAATGGCGTATTTGTCTTTTTACTATAAATGTCTAATAAAATCCTGTAAATCCTGCAGCTACAGAAACAATTTTCAAAGAATCGAATTAACCAGAAGCAGTGACTCAAGTATAATATTGCCTACAAAAGGGGATGGACCAATATAGCTTTCAGTATCCATCCCTGGATGCTAAGAATAGCTCTTGGGACAGAAGCAACTAGCTTTCTGCATGTTAAGTCTCCTCTCTAGTATCTCTGGGCAACGACCTGTCAATGGGATCTGAGCCAAACTCTTCCCCATGATGTAGACACTCTGGTGACTTGTACTCCTCTTGCCAACAGCTTCAGACAGGCTTGGACTTCGCATCTACAAATATTAACCTCACATATATCCTACTTTATAGAAACAAATAGTGAAAACAATTGTATTAATCACTTCTATATACTTCACACATTTTGGAAGGTTCATTATTCTTTACCTCCCTCCAAGATATAAATTCTTGCTTATAAAAGTGCTGCTAGCACAGTGCAGCATACTTTCTAGTTGTCCATGTACCTCCATTCTCTCCTATATGACCAAATGGCTACAAAGATTTAGAGGTTCAGTGATTATAGGACTTAAATGCTTTTAACCCCTTTAAATTTGGAAACTCTTTAAATCCCATTATCTCTGCAGCCATGGAGAATTTTCAGCTTGGCCTTTCTAGCTCCAGGTCTAAGGATTACAGAGTTTTAAAGAATATAAATTCTTTTCTGCAGTTCTACAAAGAGCTGTCCCCAACTAGTTGACCTCCAGGAAATAAAGCCAGCCTATTCTCCAGCTGGTAACTGCTGATCAGAGTTTTGAAAAAGAAAGATATGTATGTTATGCCACAAACCACCAGGAAAACAAGTAATTGCCTCCTCTGCTCCATAGGAAGCTAGTGAATCCAAAGATTCGATGTAGAGGGGGCCAGCAGACTTCACATATGTGTCAGTAAATGTTTGAGAATGAGAAATCAGAAAATGCCAGGGACCCAAAGAAGCTTGTAGGGGCAGAGACAGTAAGTTCAGTGATTAGGAGCCTGTTACCTTGGATACCCATGGATCCTAGGAAATCCTCTGAGGTCTTACCTCTTGTGTCCTCACATTTATGTATCCATAGTGAGTTCGAAGGGGCCGCATATATGTGTAGGAGAATGGGATCCATTTTGTGCCAGGCTGTCTGAAGCAGTTTAGCAACAGTGGGAAATTCACTTCATTTACCAGGCGCACAACCAGCAGGAAGAGGAACGCTGCTATGAAGCTCACTGCGATCACAGACTTTCTCTACAAAATATTAAAAAAAAAAAAAGTGTGAATGAATGAACAAATGACTTTCAACCAAAAGTAGTCACAGAGGGAGATTCCTTTGTTTCTCTCACTTTTTCTTTCAGAGGGATCAAAGGATGATTTCATTTAGGATATTTCACTTGCAGACAGAACATAATCATTTGGTGACCAGGTTGCTTTCATAAGCCTCTGAGAGCAAGCAGAGCAACTTTCTTAGATTATCTTTCCCTCCATTCCTACCCTTCCTTACTTCCCTATATCCCTCAACAATTTCTATTCAATTTTCAAAACACAAATCAGACATTCTCAACTACAGGAAGCCTTTCCTAACTGCTCAGGTCCCCTCCCGTCATCATCCCTTCACCCCAACCTATCTACCCTAATAGAAACAAGCAGTCCTGTCACTCCCATACCTTGAAGGTAATTTCTACTGTTGCATGTGATCCTTTGTATAATTATTCAAATGACTTTTCCTCCATCTAACTGTGATATCCAGAGAACAAGAATGTATTGTCATACTGACTTCTGTATCTCAGGTCCTTGACACAGTACCTTACATACTGGAGGCGTCCAGGAAACATTTGAGTGAATCAATGAATGAATGAATGAATGGATTTTTCACATCCTTGTAGACACTTTATTAACAATGACTCTGTTTCTCTATCTAGCACCCTCAATAGCAGGAAACTTTGCACAAAAGTAAGACTCAAAAAGCTAAGAATACGAGTAGGACAAAATCCATGCCCAGAAGCATAAGGACATCTGTGTAAACGTGTTGCTATGAAGCAAGAGCAGGAGAAAGGGCACCTGACTGGGGTGGAAGAGAGCAGAGCTGTGGCTGAGACTGCGCAAGATAAAACGCATGAATTTTGTTCAGTAGAGATGTGTGAGTGAAGCTTTCCAGGTAGAGGGCAAGGAGGCAAGAAAACATGGGGTTATTCATAGCTACATAGCATACTGTCTTCCTGGAGCACAGAAGAAGAGAAAACGCTGGAAAAACAAATGGTAACTTGATGGACTGCCTGAAAATCCAAGCTAAGAAGTCCAATGAGTTTGCTAGGTGACAGTAGACCAAAGGAGGTTTTGTTTGTTTGCTTGCTTGATTTTTTAAAAGTGACTGTTACAAGTTATAATCAAACATAAGTACTTAAGATGTTTCAGAGCAGGGAGACACTAAAGCTAGGCAGCAACTTGTTAGGAGGCTGTTCCAACTGGTTCAGATGAGGGATGCCAGAGCAGTGGCAAGGGGAATACAAGGGTAGAAAAAGATATGAGAAACTCAGTGTAGGTGATAGGCAGAAACCGTGACTCCTGATTGGACAGAGGTGCAGATGGAAAATTCAGAGACGCCTTAGAGTTCAAATCTAGGTAACTACAAGAATCCTGGTCATATCAAGAGACACCAGAGTGGTCAGAGCAAGAAATGATTTAAATGAGTAATAGGATAAAGCCCTTGGCTTTCAAAGTCCTGGTTTTCTCCAGATGGCAGGTCATCTGAATGGAAGGTCAAATCTAGAGCAAGGAGAGCAGAGTGGAGGGCAGATGTCAGGAATAACTCTGCCTTGAAGTCCATGGTGAAGACAGAACCAGATATTCTCCCCCCCTCCCCTTGAAGCTGGGCTCAGCCCTTGCTTGATTCTTCTTCAAACTTAAGGAAAGCCAAATAACTCTCCAGGAATGACTAGATACGTGTTGTTTTGTTTCCAGCTTAAGTTTCTTTTTGCTCTTCACAGAACACCCCAAGAAGAAAAGAAACCCAAAGCCAGCCCTTGTTCCTCCCTGGGCCATGGTCACAGTCTCTGCAAGAAAGACAGTGGAGTAAGTCTCCAGAAGCCAGAGACCCCAAAGGAAGTGTTTGCTCTTGCTCAGCTCCCACAATTAATAAAAGCCCCATCCCTCTGTCTAGCCAGCCTAATTTCCCAATCACCTGAAAGTCCCTTGAGTTCTGCCTCCTCAAAACCCCTTATCTCACCACTAACTACCACCGCCTTACCTCATTTAACCTTCTAATCATGAAAAACTGTTTTAATTTGCTCCTCTGTGGAATCATTATGTCCACAACATTGCAATGTGTCAAGGTAACAGCTTAAATGAGGTGATGGATCTTACAAGTTTAAAGGGACACAGACCAGAACAGATGGCTAAATAAAAGCAAAGAGACCAGTCACCCATTAAGTAAACAGGTAAGAACCTTTTTTATCACCATCAGGTAGCTTGTTGCAAAACAGCAGTTTTCTTTGAAGGAGACCCAGATGGGATTTGTGCCTTTGTCTATTCCAGAGCTCAGCGTGGCTCTCTGATTCTCCTGCTTGCTGCATTGCGTTGCATGGCTGGGGGTTTGGGGACAAAGGCTCAGAGGGCCTTTCTGAATTCGCTGATCTCGCGTAGCCACACATACATAATGCGTACATGAGAGGAAAATAAGTCAACCTTTTGGAGAGAAACTTCAAAATGGAATGAAATCACAGTTGTAAGAGTCTGCTCCCTGGTATTCCATGTCTGCCTCCCATGTTTTATCAAAGGGAACCAAGTAATGAGCACAGAAAGGATGAGGGGAGCAAATGGAGAGTAGATGCCAGACAGACTTATCTGTGCTTGACCTGGAATCCTATTCTGCAGTGGGCAGAGTGTTCTTTTCATAGCTTGGGCTTTGCCTGGACCAGATTCTTTGTCTTTCTTTACCCTGCAATATTCTTCTTTAACACGAAAGCATTCTCAGAGTGCTGATATAAAAGCACCCTGAAAGTCCACTAGCAGAGGTATAATTTCAAGCACATTCTGTACTTCAGACAGCAAGGACAACAGGATGGCACACTGACAAGCATCCTTCTAGCAGGCATTCCTGGCAAATCATGACCTTGAGCTTTAGCAATGACAATAAAGCCTGTGGATGAGGCTATTGGAAGTCTACCATCCCAGAATGCAGTGAGAATGTGTATGTGTGCTTGTGGGAGGAATGTGGGAGTTGGGGAAGTAACAAAATACTAACATGTATGATATATATGAATGCATTTACTCCTCCAAGTCACAGTCACTCATTGAGCCTGAGCTCTGTACAGACTGGGTGAGGGGCTGAAAAGCAGAAATAAATCCCTAAAAGTCATAAAGCGATGCCTCCAGAGTCACACCTTAGTGCCCCTGGCAAGTAAACAGAAGGGTAGCACGTCACATGTCAAATGAGGTAATGGAGGTTAGGCACAGGGCGCTGTGCCAGTCCAGAGGAAGTGGGAAGGGCTGTGCGTGGGACAGGGAATGCTTATTTGGGGAGGCATTATTCAAAAGGGGTCCTGAAGAATGAGGTGGAGTTAGACAAGTGAAGATCGGAAGGGCATTCCAGGTAGAGGGAACAGCATAGACCAAGGCCTTAAATTGGTCAGCAACCTTCAAATGACTTGGTATAAAGAGTACATAGACTGTATGTGGTGGGAGATGATGGTAGAGAAGTAGACAGGGTTCAAATCCAAACACAAAAAATAGTAAGCCAAATACATTCGGTCAGATGCAATTATCTGTCCCATCCATCTTACATTAGGATAATGAAAGGATAAATGCATAAAAGTGTTATGCTTTATAGTCCTAAAACTTGCTACACTTTCCAAACAAGTGAAAATGTATCAATCATGTCATCGTATTTGATATTGCCATCTAACACCACAACGCCTTGTTTCTAATTACTTAAGTTTATTCCATCAGTGACTTGTTCAAGCAATTGTTTTGGGTCCAGCAACACTCAGCAAATTAGAAGACTCTACTTATTTTTCTGCTCTGTGTCTAACAATCTGCTTATGGAAGCGATCACTGCTGCCTTTAATGAAGAAATCAGGGCATCTCCTAGATCCAACAACAGCAACTAGGTAAGAAAAAGCAACAATTAAATACTCATCAAATTTATAATGGAGAAGACTCAGTCTGACAAACCTTTCATATTGCAAAAATAGGCAGTACATTTAATAGGTCTTTCTTCTAAGATTAGAAGTATGCACTTTCGGGGCATCTGGCTGGCTCAGTCAGTAGAGCTTGTGACTCTCAATCTCAGAGTCATGAGTTTGGCATGAAGCCTACTTTAAAAAAAAAAAAAGAAGTACAAACTTAAAACAATACAACAGGTGGAAAATGCACCATTCTGGCACACAGTGAGTACTCAAAAATGGGAGATACTATCATTATAACTACTAATTGTCAGAGCCTTGTTGGCCATTAGCCAGTTGGTAAGAATTGGCCAGCCCATGTAATTCATGATAAAAACTTGGAGATATCTTTTCTCAATATTCCAGGCAGCTGCACACCCTTGAACTATTCAGTGAAACTTATCCACACAAGCTCTGAGAGAATGTCACTGTGCCCAAATAGATCTGATGAATTGCTTTAGGGAATGCTTTCTCCTTCTTTGTTCCTCATTTTGGGCAACTCTGAAGGGGCCTTTAACAGCTGAGACATTTAGAATTTAATCCCCACTGTGCTGCAAAAATATGCATCAAAAATGTGGCATTCCAGTTGCTTGCTCTTTAGAGTTGGAATATCATTTATCAGACTTACAGCAGAGATACCTATCTCAGAATAAAATCCACAGAGAATTTAGGATTTAGGGAGAAAACAATTGCAAATATTTGTACCTAGCAAATTTGCAAACTGTATTAATGTTTGTATGTTTTTATTCTTTCTACCACAGAATTAGTCTTTAACCTCAGGATAAATTCTTTACTTTTTAATTTAGTCAGTTGCTAGATTTTTTGTTTCTTTTTCATAAATGATTAACGATAGTCTAAAGCTGTATTTTTTCCATTTAAACAGCATTATTTAATTAACAAAATAAGTTATTTTCCAGGGTAAAACTGTATATATTTTTATCCATATGCTGTCATCTATCCAATAATAAATATTTGTGCTGATTATTTATATCAGTGCTCAAACACTTCACACATTGACAAGTCTACCCATTACATATTTGTGACCTTATTAAACACAAATTCTTCTCCCATATAGAAAATTGTGTCATC